AGTGAATTGAGCCTGTCCCCAGATGACAAAGTCTTTCAGCAGGTGTCCAGAGCATACTCACAGGTAAATCCACACTGTTTCTGTTGGATCTCTTTCAGTGCTGGGATAATTTCTGTATTTGGTTTCATGGTGTCATTGAAAACACAATAAATCCAAATGTGGAGTTAGGACTATAAAAGACGCTGGCCTTTTTGCAAAGTCTGTAAAGCGATGATGATTGAAAAGTGGAATACAATAGTACTCATTGTTGAGCTTTCCTTTGTGTGTGATTTTCATGCAGGAGAATCCTGTGATGCACACTGGACACCCTTGTGAGGACCTGTACCCTGATGAATATTTTAAGGATGGCATCACCAATGGCGCCAATTGGTACAATGTTCCTGGTATGCACCCTTCTCATTCATTTCTTTCACAACAAAAATTACCCCAAGAACCTTGTTATATTTAACACTTTTAGTTGATTTGCATAGCCTTGAAAAGATTATTTTTTATTAAGCACCCACATCTGTAACATTTTCTTTTAATGCCTCAAAGAATTAAGATGTATATAAATTGATATTTATATTTTTTGTTGTTGTAAAATGTAATCAGTCTATTTGTTTACAAAAGACTATTCTCTCTAAAAAAAGTAATTACGCTACCTCAGTTTATGGCGTCTTCGATAAAGTACAGAATATTGCACCACTCTGCCTTGATAACCATGAGGGGGTGAAATGCTGGAAGCAAAACAGACTGCACTTTCCTTTATGATTATCATTTGTTTCTCCAAACAAAGGATTATGACTTTAGAGATCCTTTACCCACTTGAACCTCCTTCTTATGGCTTTAAATAAAGCTCTCATGTTTGAGACGGAGATGAAAGAGCACTTTTTTTTCCTCCAGGTGGCATGCAGGACTGGAACTACTTAAATACCAATTGTTTTGAGGTGACCATCGAGCTGGGCTGTGTGAAGTACCCCATGGCCAAAGAGCTGCCGAAGTACTGGGAACAAAACCGACGAGCCTTGCTTCAGTTTATACACCAGGTTAGTTATCATTAATCTTTACATTATCCAGAGCTTTACTATACTCAGCATTGCATCACCTCATCTATTTGATAATATCTGTCTGAAGGTCCACATTGGAGTCAAAGGCACAGTGTCTGACATCAGCGACGGTGAAGGAATTCCCAATGCCACCATAAGTGTGGAAGACATAGACCACAACATCAGCACAGCTCGTACTGGAGACTACTGGAGGCTGCTGGCACCAGGAACTTACTACATCACTGCCTCCGCCCATGGGTGAGATTTTGATTTCAGAAGGAACAAAAAACTTTTCCTGTTTCTAACTCTTTGAAAATGTGTTCCCTTATTTCCAGTGTTTCTTACTTTGACTTTCTGTTGTCCAGTTATAAATCCTTGAGGACCTACGCCAGTGTCTCCGGGGATGGAGTAGAGGTGGTGGATTTCAGATTGACACGTATACACTCGGACCCTAATGGCCACCCCTCTGAGGGACCCCAGCCCACACAGAACCCATCTGAGAAGGAGTTCCAGAGCTTAATCAAGGACCTCTCTCTAGGCCAGGGTTTGGAGCGGCTGATGATGAGCACAGCCACCGAGAGCAGCTTCCGCTACAGACGTTACAAAGAGCTTTCAGGCTTCATGAGAGGCCTCACTTTGAACTTTCCCAAAATAACTTCTTTACAAAGGTGGGCAGGTTTTATCTTCCGAATGTATCTGAACCAGGCTGCATCATTTCCTACTGAAGATACATAAATATTTGATGTCACACCTTCATACTTCTCCACCTTTTTTACTAAATGTAATGTTTTCCTGTTATGCTAAAATCCTTTACTTTAAATAGTGACCAGTATTTTTTTTTATTTTCTTCTGTGTCCAGTTTGGGTCAAAGTATAGAATTCAGAACCATTTGGGCTCTGGAAATCTCCAACAGGCCAGCGGAGTCTGAGCCATCCGAGCCCAAGCTGCGCTTTGTAGCAGGGATCCATGGCAATGCGCCAGTGGGCACAGAGCTGCTGCTGGAGTTTGCTGCCTTCCTGTGTATCAACTACGGCAAGAACCCAGCCATCACCAGGGTGTGTATTCCCCTCAGAAAATATCATGTGTGTGGGCTGCACGTGCTGTGTCCATCATGAATTGACCTTTACTTTTAAAAAAGGCTGTATATTTTTCAATTAGAAATACACAGACGTCTTTCTCTGAGCGCAAGAACCAGTTCAGGTCAGGTAGGTCAGTAACTTTTAATTTCCCTCTTCCAGCTGATCAATGAGACCCGGATTGTCATCGTGCCGTCTATCAACCCAGACGGACGCGAGTTAGCTATTGAGAAGCAGTGCACATCCACTCAGGGCTTAAGCAACGCTCATGGAAAGGACCTGGACACAGATTTCTTCGGTCAGTTGTATCAATATGTGTTTGTGACAGACACTGGATAAGGATAAGAGAAGATTCAATCAGCTCTTGAGAATGTTACAAATAAATGTCTTAGCTTTTACAGCTTACACTAAAAAAAACAAACGAATTTCCTGTCCACCATTTGTTTTCTACCTGTTTTAGGCAATGCATCTCAGCGAGTGGTGGAGGCCCAGCCAGAGACCAGAGCCATGATGGACTTGATTCTAGACAAAGGCTACACTCTCTCTGTAGCTCTCGACGGAGGCTCCCTGGTTGCTACCTATCCTTATGACAAGCCTGTGCAGACCGGTAACACCGCAATGCAGAAAACTGCTTTCTGTTTGAATTAAGTTTGCCTTGTGCAATTTCACATGTTGAATATTATATGTATTAAGATTTAAGGGTATTTGATTGAAATGGAACCGATTTTAACACATCACACATTTGATGTTAGGAGTGGTGATATTTGTAATACGTTTGCCAGTCTAGCTGTATATCCAGCACACAAGTCCAGAGCAGTTGATCTTGAATGTATAACCTCAAACTGCACCTACAGTAAATTATTTATTGACTACCTTTTTTGAGTTTTTGTGGCATTTCATGAGCTCCCAAGAGGATGCATCCCTTTAAGTGGGACACTTCATTCATATTTTTGTAACATGAAGCCAGAATATGAACTTTGTAAACACACTCACTGTGCAGTGGGCACATTTTATTGAACTATTGGCGATTAAATGAAATTTGTTAAATGAAAGTTTTGGACCCAGGAGCTCAAGCGACAAAGACTCTTAGGTCTTTTCTTTAGCACCACCTACAGGAAGAATTTAGGTATTTTTAGCCCTGATTGCTTGGCTATAATATTAGTTCCTGTCAGTAGGGACTTGTGTTCTTGTTTTCAAACACTACACACAATGCCAGGATGCTACTTGTGGGGCTGTAGAATTTATATTTATTACATAAAACCTTAAGAAATGAAGTCACAATACTAATGTTGTTTCCTCTCAGCAGTTATTGATGTTTAATACTTCTTGATATTGCTTATACTTTACTGAGTGTTTCTTCTTTTCTTCATATTTCCAGTTGAAAATGAGGGAACATTGAAGTACTTGGCCAGTGTGTATGCCATTAACCACCCCAAGATGCACCTGGGGGACACTGGATGTTCAAATAATGGTCAGATTTTAGAATTTAAGCACCTTTGATGAAGCTTCAATAATCCTGTTATCATGAAACTTTTTGATATACACAATTTTTGTAGCAGATTACAGAGGTTTACAGCTTAAAGACATTTCTCTGTTGCTCAGTAGGCAACATCCCAGATGGAGTTATGAGGGCAGCAGAGAGACAAAGTCACATGGGGAGCATGAAGGTAAGTCTCTCCAATTTTTAGTGGGGTTTGTTTGTTTGCAAAATGTTTAGTATTGACAGCTTGACAAACAGTTCTAAAATGCTCGATGCTAACTTGGAGATGTTTGTTAATTCAAATGAGAAGTTAAGAAAAGCAAGTGCTATATCAGAGCATGATCCAGCCCATCTTACTGTACTGTTCCACCTGCTTCTTTTATTATGTTGCCTGTAAAAGACAAGGCCAAACTCAAACGCACCACAACCACAGCTGCCAGAATAATCGGTCTCCCCACACTCAACCTAACAGAACAACATCCACTGAACACTCACCTCACCCCACTTCCCTCAAGACAAAGGTACAGAGCAATGGGGTGCAGAAAGGCATGCCTTGGGAGGAGCCTGATCCCTGCGGTTATAGCGGCCCTAAACAAAAGGCCTCGCTGAACAGGCCAGAGTGGGAACTCTTGACTTTGTGTCTTTCTCTGTTTGTGCCATACTCTGTTTTCTGACTGTTCTTTGGTGGGACTTGTCTGATTGGACAGTAACGGTGCTGTGGAAAAGAATTTCCCCTTGAGGACAATAAAGTCTAAAGCCTAATAGAAGGCTGTGTGCCCCAGTCATGTTTCATGTGTCTATATGATGTTTCAGGACTTCAGTATGGACTTTGGCCACTGTCCTGAAATCACAGTGTACACTGGTTGCTGTTTTTACCCTCCTGCTGAACAGCTGGCCACACTTTGGGCCGAGAATAAGAAGGCTCTTCTCAGCATGCTGGTCGAGGTACGATGCTTAATGTTATCAAAACAATATAGAGACATTTAGCTTTTCTACATACAGTATAGATTTTGAACACTTGTTACTTGTAGTATTTCTGTAAGGTGTTTAAGATGATCATTTTACCCATGATCATATAGCCTAAAAGTTCCCTCCATGTCTACCCCATCCAGGTCCATAAAGGGGTGCGTGGCGTGGTGAGGGACAGAAGTGGAAAGCCTATTGTTGGGGCGATCATTGTACTGAATGGAGGAGTGAGAGTCTTTACTCGAGAGGGTGGATACTTCCGTGCACTGCTGGCTCCTGGTACCCACAACATTGAAGCTGTTGCCGATGGCTACCAACAACATCGTCAAGAGGTACACAGCTTTACTGTTTACATAACCTGTACTATGCTGGCCAGAAATGTACTGGCTTTGAGGAAGATGGCCACAATAGAATAGCGATGACAACAAGTAAACAAAACAAATGTGATTTATATTTTACATTGTTTTTTTTTTTTATTTACCTGAGATTGTATTTAGACTTGTCCTTTAAACAAAGTTGATATCAGGTCATGACAATGTTGAAGCTTTGAAACAAGAATATCACATTGATGACAATACTGTGTAAATCAAGAGTTCTACAATATTTACTTCTGAATATTTTATACAAGTGTGGAACGCTCAGCTTTGCCCCTGTTGCAACAACCCATGCTTTGTCAAACGGCTGATGAGAATACATAAAAAAGATTCACATTTGTCTAAATGACTTAAGTGGTCGCTTGTCTTTTAAATAATTTTATTGTACTGAGGACCTTAGATACACACCCTTATTTAAAAGTCATTACTCACATAATTTTGCTTTTATAGTTTACTTGAAGAGAATTGATTGAAACCTTTGGAATCTTTTTTTTTTGTTTGAAAGAATGAAATATAACTTCAGCTACATTACATTTCAAGAAAGACAACACAAATTAAATTAAGCATCAAGACACAGAAACAAAAATCAGGCTCATGTCATTGAAAGAGAGTCTGTTGGGGAACATCACTGTGGGCCCCCCTTACTGTCTATATTAATGAAAGGTGTAGCCCGGAGCACACAAAACCTCTCCAGCACCTCCACCTTCCCATCGGTCTGTTCTGAAATCTGAAGCGTTGGGTATGCCAGCTCTTTAAACAGATGTTCCTTAATGTTGCGGCCCAGCTCCACACTGTATGCTGTGAGCTTTCCGCAGGACTAACGAGCAGGGGATCCACCACAGAATGATATGTCTGCTGGTACTCTGGAACTGTGAAGCCGTGGATCAACAGAGGTCCTGCAGGCTGACTAGTCGAGGTCCTGTCTTCATTAGTGAGAACTGTGTCCCTGTGGGGCGGTTTGAGATCTGGAGGAACAGCAGTGTTTCTTTTATACCGGTCATCCAGGGCTTCTGGGGGTCCACTTCATTCTGCTCGCACACAAAGTCCAAATGGCATGGTGGAGCAACCATGTACTTCCTCTCTTTAACAGTCTCCCCATATTTCTTAGGACATCTAATACTCTGCCTCAGGCCATAGGGACGCATTTCATTCCTCTGGAAGTTAGAGTGACATTAAGTTTAGATGTCTATAGAAGTTATTCTGTGTCTGTCTGTCTGTCAGAAAACAGCCAGCAAACCATAAAGATAAAGCAGAAGAGAGAGCAATTACAATCAAGACATGCACTTACTCTTTGGCAGCAGTTCTTTGGATGCATGTTTGTAAAACATCCCTGAATCTGGTCTGAAATCTTTTAACAGCTTTGGTTTTATCTGCATTTGAAAATGACACTGCATAAAAGAAAGACATTGTATTACTGTGACGAGAAATCAAACAGTTAACAAAAAACAAATCTCAGTTTTTGTGTGATTTACCTCTCAGACGAAAGCTTTTTTTGATTTTTTTTTTTTTTTATGAGCCAGTACCCATTTGCTATTTTAGACATTGATCACAACCTGCAGCACATTAAAGTAAGCAGTCACACCTGCAAATGAGGCTTGCTAATCAGGTGATTAACAGCCCCCATTACTGTCAGGAGCTTAAACACACGACTAAATGGATTTTGGAGCCATTTGGAGGAACAGCCAGAACGGATAAGAACATGAGGTAGAGCTTGAGGTTTTGTTTTTGTTGTTGCAATTTAACTGTAGTGAAAAGATAACTGCAAAAACTCCCTTTAAAAAAAAAAAACCCTTGTAAAAAAACAATTCAATTATTTACATTTTATTTAACTAACTAACACTAATTTAGTGCCTTTAACATGGGTTTTTTTCCCCATGACTGCAGCAGGGTATAAAAAGAACAGGAAATTGAATTATTCTGATACTTGATACATAATTTGAACTCTACCATTAGGAATGTTGCTGCTACCGAGTATTTAAATCTCTTAGTTTCAGGAAGGCATGGAGACTTCTAGACTCAGTTCTGTTGTGTTTCAGGTGGTGGTATTATCCTGTGAAGCTGCTAGCTCCATCATCATTGAGTTTGACATGGACAATAACATCTTTGGCCTGCCCAGGCAGTTTGTGGTGGCCAGTGCAGGTAAGGATGTTTATGAAAGACACTTTTGTAATACAAGAACTCTGCATAATTAAATTAGGGTCTAAGACTGTGTTCCAAGAAGTAGCGCCAACAACCTTTGAACAGTTAGCATGCTTTGTTAGTTTTAATGACTGAAGTCCTTTGAGAAAGTGCATGGATGAACATTTTTAAATCTTTAATTTGTTCTGTGTTCTTTCTCTTTGCAGCCGCCTCCATGACAGCTTTGGTGGTGACGGCATGCATCATCTGGTGTGTGTGCGCGGCCAAGTCCAACCGTCAGAAAGACGGATTCCACCGTCTGCGGCAGCACAGGGACGATTATGATGATGAGATCCGGCTCACCTCTATGGGCTCTAAGAAGTCACTGCTAGCTCACGAGTTTCAGGATGAGAGTGAGAGCGATGAGGAGACACTTTATGCCAACAAAATCTGAGGATCGTTGGGTTTTTCAGCTGTTGGTTGTTGTTTTTTATTCTGATCTCCCCCTTTCATTTAACCCCTGTTCAGTATGGAACAGGATGATTTGCCTCTTTTGAGAAATGAGTGCTAAAGACACTTTGTTCTATCACACCAACAAACTCTGTGATTCACCCACGCATCACTCAGTCAGTAGTGATACTCCAGTTAAAGAGTGTCCTGATTGTGTGAACTGAAGACCTGGCTTTCTTTACTGGAACAGAAGAAAGAGACAGAAGTAAGATGATTTAAAAACAAGGACAGAGTCATACATATTTTTGTCCACTGTGGCCTGCATCCGTCCTGGTTTTTGAGTCCAGCAGATTTTTAATTTCCGAGCCACATCCAAGTTATTTTATACCACTATCTGTCCTGCCCAGCTGAGGGATTCCTGCTGATAAGTCCAAATAAACTTTTCTTTGATGGGTGTGTAATGAACTCTGAATGGAAGTGCTAAATATCAAACTGTCTCCCCTCCAATATCATGCTTTTCTTTCAGTGCAGGATTGGAAATTAGAAATGTAATCTTGTATCTGAGGCAGCATTGCCACACTGAAATGTTCGAGCCTTTCGAGGAGACTGAATCCAATATTGTGCCTTGGTTTCTGTAAAGTCTACAGTCCACTCAGGCTGTAGTTTGTGACGGAGAGCAGCAGTACAGTGACTAGATAGCACTTGGTCATTCTGGAATGGTAATATGATCCATCCTGTACTCGGGTGGTAGGACAAGAGTTTAAAGTCTGCTGGGGTCCAACATTGCACTGCTTCCGTCCAGGCGACTCTGGGTTGGTCGGCTCAGTCGTTTCTGAGCTTTCCTGTGAGTAAAGTCATAACGAGAGCAAGCTTCTCAAAAAGCTTCGAATCATCAGGAAGAGCCTGTTACCAATGAAATGCTTGAATGAATCCCCCTTCTCCCTCCCAGGAGGTCACTCATGTTTGCATGGAGGTCACTTGCACTAAATAAAAAGAAAGGGTTGTCTCAAATCATTAGTCAGGAATAAAAAAAAAAATTACGAATCTCTAAAACCCTAATCATTAAAAGAATGTTTTTTTTTGTTTGTTAAAACTTTAGCTTTATTGTTGTGCAATCTGAAACTGTCTGTACATGGAAAGTAATCTAAATATCATGCATGTCAAATTCAATCTGTACCCTTTTTCTTTCTCATGATTTCTTACAATAAGGAATATGAATTCAGTTTCCATTTGAAGATGTTAAAATCCCCCCCCCCCCCACTCAACATTGGTTTAAAGTTTAAAAATGATTCCTGGTTTGTCCGTCCATTCGTAATCATTGTCCAAAATGCTGATTAATGTCGCGCTAAGCATCCTCTATTAAATCACTGAAACTGCCAACACTCAAAATTGTCTTTTTCACATTAAACTGAATTAAAAAAGTTGCTCTAGATTATTAAAATCATGTCTCAAATTCAGAATGCTTTACATAATTTTCATGTGCAGTCGTATGAAATAATACACACTGGTTCATAATTTGTGTTGATTGCCACTAATGTTGAGAAGAGATTCTTTCCTTTTCCTTTAAAAAAATGCAGCTTTCGTCCGACCTGATATCTGTATAAAGAGACATTCTTTTTAAATTATTTTTCTGTCTCACACAGCTTCTTGTGGATGCCTGTATATGAAATCTGAGCGTGTGTCATGATCACACACGGTTGGTGTGGAAATTTTATAAACTGGAATGAGCTGTAAATAATGTTTGTCTAATGTGAATGGGGAAAAATAACTAAGAATGCACATGACAACACATTTAATCGAAACCTGTGTGTGATCTGAACAATTACTCATGATACACAATGAAATAAAACACCTCACAGCTTCTCGCTTCGTTCTTGTGTTGTGCTGCTCTTGTTTCAGACACATATTTAAAAGAGGCTGAATGAATGGATACATCTTAAAGGTACAAACAATATGGGTTAAAGAAGGAAAATCACTTGCTCTACATGTCTCAGCAAAGAATAACAAACGTCTTCACTCTAACCCCTTTGTATCCATTTTTAATTGCCAAAAATGAAGGTTCCTTGCAGTCGTTTAATTTAGAAATATTCATATTTTTTTGAACTGGGTGTAAAATTTAGATTGGCTTCAAAATCTCTCTGAGGTCACCCATGCCACAATGTATTTTGTTTAAATTGTGGCAGCTGGGGAACCCGGGGGAGACTCTTAGAGTGTTGCGCCCGGAGGGTAGGCTCCAAAATGTCAGTAGCACTGGGTCCTAAAGGGATATTAGGGTGCAACCGATACAATGGCTTTTCCCTGATGTGTTGTTCAGAACTTATTATTTTACTGTCATGCCAAGTACACATCTTTTGTGAATACTCTGAGAAAATAGAAGACAATCCTTTCTGCTATTAGATTGAAGGCTTGAAGCTTGAGAAACAGCCTTTTTGTCAACTAATGTAGTAAATTGTGTCCTCTACAACCAGTATTAAAATACAAGGAAGTTATAGCAGTTCTCCACCAGCTGGGGGCAGAGCAGTATAAAACAACTTAAGGTGGTAAATGAAGAAGACATCTGTCTCTTGTACTTTTGAGTTACAGTGAAAAAGCAGAAGGTTGTATTCTGTTATAGCAGTTTGTTATCTTCGTTATCTGTGTGTGTGTGTGTGTGTGTGTGTGTGTGTGTGTGTGAGATAAGAAGTTTGCTTTGATCTAATTTGTTTTACTGTAATTCTTTGTTCATTTTCTGAAGAGTCACATTATATATGAGCTTTAATATACTGCATTTTCTTAAAAGCAATTATTCAACACATAATAAAAAGCCTAATCTAATTTCTAACCAGGTGTTACGGTGGTTATTGCGCATGTACAAAGTCAATATTTCTCCAAGCACAGGCGGCACAGGTTCAAATCTGACCTGTGGCTCTTTTCCTGCAAGTCATTCTCCACTCTCTCTCTCTATCTCCCGATTTCTGACTCTATCCCCTGTTCTTTCTCCAAATAAAGGCATAAAGGCCCAAAACTAAGCCTTAAAAAAAAGTAGTTTGTTCTATATAAATGCATACAAAACACAAAGACATTTTATTTGAAAAACCAACAAGAATGATTTGATATTGCACATGTGAAATTGAGATTTTTTCAGGATATGCCACAGACCATATGTACCACTGATAACAACGAATCCATCATGAGCTGTTCACTCAACTACACGTTTTATGATTCACCCTTAACAAATATATTTGAGAATCAGAATGAACAGAGCTATATATAGGCTATGACTCTAGTTGTAAAGCTTGAGAGTTCCAGGAATGATATATAGTGAGATCATGACATCTAACTCACTCAGTGAATGAACTCAATAAGTATTGAGTGAGATGCCAACAGACTGCTCAAGAAGGCTGTGTCTGTTGTAGGCATGAAGCTTACCAGACTGGAAAAGGTAGCTGAGGCCAGAATACAGGCTAAACTGTTAACAATAATGGGCAACGTCTCCCACCTTCTCCACAACATGCTGGACAATCTGAGAAGTATGCAGAATGCTCATCCATCCATCACAATCAGTATGGTCCTTTACCTGGTCTTTTGTAAAGCGTCTGGAGATGTTATGAATTGGGGTTATACAATTAATGATTAATTTAATTGACGTATTTCTTAACATCAACCTGGCTGTAGGCCTATATGCTTCCACCGATGCCAAACCCACATACACTAAACTAGACACATTTTTTGCACCAACAACCAGATATATTTTACTTGAATGCCGAAACATTTGATATCTGACTATGACTTTGCATGAGGATCTAGCTAGGCCTATCTATCAATACAATTCCGCTAAACACTATGTTCCTGGTTGCTTCTGATGATGGGCTGGGCCAGGGGTGGGCAACTGGCGGCCCCCATCAACCCTCAACGTGGCCCTCAGGTCAATTTTTACACATCAGTTAATCAGGAACATGAAGAAAACATGACTAAATCTGCCATGAAATCATGAAAACCAGAAGTATGTCCATAATAATATTTGATCACTGGCATATGTTGAGTTAAACTGGAGACACAATTGACTGTAATCGTTTTTGTATACTACAATTTGGCCCTCTGGCAGTGAGAATTAAATTAATATGGCTCCTTGCTGTGACCAAAGTTGTCCAATACCTGGGCTGGGCAACTTATCTGACGGATCTGACAAGATAAGTAAAGAAAGACAATTACTGATAATACTATTGCTGCTGTATCCGAATCAACAATGGTAGACAACAATACAATGTTCATGTTGTTTATGAAGCCGATGTGTTCTTTTCATGTGTTTGGCCTACATACAGTCTATTGGTTGGTACACCGTCGTGGTGGGAGATCCAGGTGGTGTGCTGCCTGAAAGGCTGAGTGACGTCTTCCCCTGACACGTGACGCAACCCGGAACTTGGTGACGTCCCAGAACAACAAAGATGGCAGGAATAGGAGGCAGTAACTACTGGGAAGGTAAGGGAGCAATATTTGACACGACAAACAGTCACCAGTAGAAGCACAGACCACAGCCCATATTTTGACATTTAATTTGCCAGTGTTTCCCGTCGTATTCGTCTCGTACACCCGCGTTTAAAACTCGTTACGTGTCTTTACAACGACGAGCTTCACACACGCTAGCTAACAACGCATCGCTAAGTTAACGTTACTCCCTTCAGCTTTTAAAACAAAACGTGACATCTGCTGCACACCTCACATGTCCATCGTGCCAGATGTCAAAATCATTTAGATGGTGATTAGTTAACACCGGTAATCTTTCATGTTGTCATAAGTTAGCTCGTTCAGGTTATCAATGGTTCAGGTTAATCATGTAGCCATCGCCTCTGCTTTACAACAACAACAACAAAAACAAAACACACACATGTAATTATGAATGCCGAAGTGTTAAATGTATTCGTGTGTGTCTGCGTCACAGATCTGCGAAAGCAGGCCAGACAGCTGGAGAATGAACTGGACCTGAAGTTGGTCTCCTTCAGTAAGCTGTGCACCAGCTACAGCAGCTCTAGGGATGGACGTCGAGGAGACACGTAAGATCATACTTTACGTCACGCCTCCACTGTACACAGTATAGAATAGAATATAGAATATAGAATAGAATAGATTAGAATAGAATTACTTTATTGATCCAAACTGGGAAATTGTGGTGTTACAGCAGCAGGTTATCCAAACACACAATATGAGTAAAAAACACAATGTTAGCAAATCTAAACACAATATAATATTAACTACAAAGTAAACAAGTACTAAAAGATATCAAAAATAAGAATGTGAATATATACAACCAGGATTTCACTAAGCATTACTAGTCTTAAATAGGAAGATTAAATATGGATAAGATTGAATGTAAATGTGCTAAAACAGAGTTGTAAATGGACAGTGTTGACATAAGTTGAAGTGCATGAGTGCAGACATATAATAAGCAGAAGCTATACAATGTAACGGCGAGTAGACAGCCAATTGAAGTGAACATGAGTGCAGGGATGATTTGTAAATTTAAACATGTGCAGAACAGATTACAGTATGGAGAGACAGATATTATCATGATGACAGTTCTCTGCTCGCATGAGGTGAGCTGTTGTACAGAGTCATGGCCTTCGGTAAGAAAGATTTCCTGTATCTGTCCTTGTGACAGCGGAGTTGTATCAGTCTGTTGGAGAAGCTGCTCGCTGTTTGTCCAGTAGGGTGTGCAGAGGGTGTAAAACCGTGTTAGACAAAATAATGTGTAGGTTATCAGTCATGCAAGTCACAGGGTATTTTGAAGTAGAAAGAAAGATAGCCTGACTGAAAACTGCACAGATACCTCACGACAGGTCAAACCACTTGTAACTACTGCTGTACTTGGTGCAGGGACCTGTAGAGGATTTAATAGGGGCAGGTGCTCATATTCACAAATAGGCTTTTTTTTTTTGATGAAACATATACCCCTGGGATGGTATATTGTTGTGACACTGTTAAAATAACAGCGAAATGATATGTATTAGAACAAAGCCATGACTGAGAGGAAGCAATACAGTACATGACAGTTAAATAGTTATACATGCACATAGTGTATAAGAGCTGTTTCTGGAGTACAGAGTGTGTAGAACTGTTTTTTTAAGTGTCATTTTTACTTTGGCTCACTGCTAATACAGGTAGAAACCCTTTCTCAAAGGAGGAGGAGAAGAACTATTTTTTTTTGTGCCTTTAATATTGAGATGGTACAGTGGATAGAATCACTTTAACAGTGATGGGGAAATTAAAAAAATGACGCATTGGTCAAGTAACTATTACTATGTGGCAACTATTTAGTTTCATATAATAACACATGCTACAATACTAGAGCTTTGATAGCATTATACATTGTAGCTACACTTTCAAAAAAACAACACATGAATTATGTATTATACATTGGTTCATTGTTTTATTGATTTCAGATTTTAACTGTTAAGTTGCATCCCATAATCAACAGAAGCTCAAGCCCCTTATTTGTCTTTATGCACCTAACTGGGTACATCAATGTAGGAGGACTGGGGCCTAAGTGGGATGTGTCGTAACCTAGGTGTGATGGTTTAAGTGGTTATTTTAGAGCTAAAATAACCATGAAACTAATACAGTTTAATCTGACACTGCCTTGATATGATACCTTTCTGTGTACTACACAACAGGAAACAGAACTTCATTGGAATTTGGATCAATGATCTCATAAAACATACCATATACGTCACCTGTATAATAAGAGACAATCTCTAGTGGAGCATAACCCAGGTTTTAAGTGGCCTGATCGTAGTGGTCTGTGGGCCTGGGAAAGTAGAAACAGGAAAGTGTTGGCTGTAGGAAGGAAGTGTTATGAACAATGCATTGAAGCTATACCAGTTACACAGTGTTGTTCAACAGTTACAAAATCCAATGGATAGATAAATATGAAGGAGAACTCCCTATAGAGATCTTATTCTTGAAACACTAGCACCTTTGTTTCTTTGGGTAATCAATGCTTAATCTATGTTAATTCTATAGCTTTGAGATTTAGCACACAATCAATATGATATTAAGGGGGTGTCAACTATGAAAAAGGATTGCAGTAGTAGTAAAGTAGTGCTGGTTCGATGCTCCATGCGAGAAACTTGTGATGGCTTAGTGAATTTACTCTGTCATAGTAAGTACATTACACATTTTTTTCTTTTTTTTAAATAAATGAATTACAAACAAAAGGCTTTAAGTCTGTCATCTTTCTAATTGCTCTTTGTTCTTTATTTTTCCTCATGAAGGTCAGACACCACCCCCTTGCTAAACAACTCCACCCAGGACAGGATGTTTGACACCATGTCAGTGGAGATTGAACAACTTCTGTCCAAAGTGAGTAAATTGTCATGGGCCAGTGGCTGTGGAAAAGCAGAGAGTCTTTAGAAAACAGCAGTGCTGCTTTATTTCAAGGCTCTTGTCTTTTAAGATGGAAGAGGGGACTGCAGGGTTCCACACAGGGCCTTTACTACCAAGCGAGTTCAACATACCAGTATATCTTCTGGTTATCTGGCCTAACTGATGCTTTACAACCGTGTTCACGTAAAAGAGGCAGCGTTTGCGTCATGTAATCTATCAGGCCGACGGTAACAAACAGTGCGGCATGGAGCCAATAAAAAACTGATATGAGAATACAGTTCAAAGCGATAAGTAGGCGTAATGAATGTAGGCTAATTTATTATTATGTAAAATTAAATGGGAAAGACAGCGTTTTTGTCTGGTACAAAACACACTTAATAATAACGCATACAAATAATATTATTCACTTTTGATCATGAAGGGTACAATGCATTCACCCTAAGGTGTGCTGTATCATAAATCTTGAATTTACCTGAGTGTCATTTGGATTCTGTGCGGGATCCACCATATCTTTTTATCTGAAGGTTTACCTGGCGTCTTTTCTGTCCATCATTCACTCATTTTCTCATGAGTCTCATTCAGTCAAGCTCAGGATTGATTTTAAAATACTTCTGACGCATTAAATGGACTTGCCCCCGCCTACCTCTCAAACTCCTATCCCCATATAAACTGGTGAGAGATCTTAGGTCATCTGCACAAAACCTTCTGTCACTGCCTAGATTGAGGACAAGGTGCAATGGGGATCGGGCCTTTTCTATTGCAGGACCAAAACTATGGAACTCTTTGCCCCCAGACATCCGTCTCTCTCCCACTTTTGGTGTTTTTAAAACTCGCCTTAAAACATATTTTTACTCAATTGCTTTTAATGTTCAATAACCTGTTTTTGTTTTTGTTTTTTAATTGTTGTTATTCTTGTCTGTTACTTTTTAATGCTTTGTTTCTGCAATGTTCAGCACTTTGGAGCAATCAATGTTGTGTTTAAAGTGCTGTATAAATAAAGTTGATTTGATTTGATTTGATTTTCTAAACTCTCTTCCAGCTGACTGGAGTTAATGACAAGATGGCGGAGTATACCAACGCCTCGGGAACAACTTCTATCAACGCTGCACTTATGCACACGCTCCAGAGACACAGAGACATCCTACAGGTTTGCCTTCTTAATCTTCTTTAGGTTATACACTCTTTCATTTATTTCTGTTGTGTAAAACCCCTTTGAACAGTTTTCTTCCTTTACCTCCTTAATTGTTTTCACCTGTTTGTATGCAGGATTACACACATGAATTCCACAAAACCAAAGGCAACTTCTTGGCCATCCGGGAAAGAGAAGACCTGCTCGGGTCTGTCAGGAAAGACATCGAGTGAGTATAAAGTCGGAACACTTTATGATTTCTTTTGCTATACAGCCAGTGTACCAGCATATGTATACAGCTTTCCAAAATTGGTCTAAATGTGAAAATATTTATAGCTTATCAAATATATTGACCGGCAAAGGCACAGTTAATGTGTTGGCAGAATCAGAATTCCTCTATTAATCCCAGGGGGATATTCAATAGAGCCAGCGCACTTTCTGAGTGTGTCACGGGAAACTGTACATGGTGCTGCATACAAAACAAACAATATGGTCATGTGATGCATTGCTTGTGTTTGATCTGGGCTGTGGCATTAATCACAGTACTTCCATATCGTCGGCCGTATTCCTCAGAGGGAGAGTTGAACCTTGACTTCCAGCTGGCATTCTCTTGAAAAATGTTTGCCATTAAACCTGAGATAATTCATTGCCTATTTGGCCTTGCATTGAGAAAGTGTGTCCTCTCCGCAGATTGGCTCAGTCGTGACTGAGTGTATTGAAATGAGATGGAGGCTCCCCCAGACCATGACTCTTGTCGTTTTTTTGTAATGGCTTATTGATCTGTAAGACGCAGCGGTGAACATACAGTGTGCTCTGCAGGATTCCTATTGATCCCCTCCATCAAACTAATACGCAGATAGTCTTCAGATGCTTCATGGACGCTCCGTTGGTCTTGCAGTCACTTTATAGCATAACTTTGTCACTATTGGTGTTAGTTTCAAACTCCTTTGTTTGGTGCACATCTATATAATTAAAGGATATTACTACCAAAACAGATATGCAACCAGACATGATACAGAAAACCTAATAAAACAAAATAAAATATAACTTAAAGGGAAGATTAGATTGTCATGGTTAAGAAATGTGTTCCTTAAATCTTTTGGACAGGGACATTTTTCCCATTTCCCACATTTAACCATTAAAGCACACGTCTAGTTCAACCTAGGTTGTTGGTACTTCTATTACTAAATAAGTTTTTTTTTTGTTCTTTTAAATCAATCCTTCTTGGCTTTTACCAATAAAATACAATCTGTGTAAAAGCCATTGATCAACCTGTCCACGTATGATTTCAGGGATTTAAATACATACATACAGACAGCACACATCATGGTTGAGTGACCTGCTGCCCCTTTGCCCACATTGTATAGTAGTCCCTCTTTGGCACTAAGGATTTATTTATTATAACCCCACATTACTTTAATAACTGTTGTTGTTTGTATTCTTTACTTTCTTTTCTAAAAGGCTGAGCTTACAACTTTGTTCCTAAACAGCATTCTCTATACGCTTATTACAAATAAGATCTTAAGATGTTTTATGTCTTATACCATTATTTTTTGTATTCTTCGAATTAATTTGTCTTAAAACTAGTTTGATCAATGCACCTCTAAGCCATTACAGTCTGATGATTATTTGAGTTGACAAACCGGCAATTTTATTTTAACACCCTGTGAGGTCAGCGCTACATGCTACAGTTCACTCCATCTTCTCATTAAATCCCAGTGTTAAGTAGTGCCACTGACCCTACTAACAGGCTCAGTGCTGATGAATGTAATGCATCTAAATGAGCCTAAGTTGTTGACCTGGTGTTCAGCCTAACAATGACTAATGTGCCCAGGGCGTCTAATGAGGGAACCATCTGAGCTAACAAGTAGACTAAAAGTCACGCAAACACTGCTGCTGCCCCTTTGGCTGACCTTCACTTAGACCTGGGGTCATGCTTTACATGCAACTATTTCTTTTGAGCAATTCCCCTCTTACCTTCTTCATTGATGTTTTGCTTGGGACGTTATAAGAAAGGACTTAAAAATGTATTAAAGCAACTGAAACAGCCTGAAGTCTAGCTACCTATTTTTAAGACTTAAATGTGGAGCCTGTCCTGTTCCTGACTTAGTTAGTGATGGATGTTTATGCAGCATCTAAACCTTTGAACAATTTTGTCATCTAGAGGGCAGTAGAGATCTTGAGTATGGTGTAATCCTGGGGCTGTTCACTGTACATTTTCATGTGTATCACTGTTGTTTACGCTGCGCACACACAAAATCCATACTGATTAAAAGAAATAGTGCGCACTGTCTCATTTGTACCAACACCTAAATTAGGAAAATGACACCCTATCAAACACTGTATCAATATCTTTCACTTGGTCAGCAAAACATACACACGCGCAAACACACACACAGCTGCATTCATAATAATAGTAGCGCAGAGCCCCCCCCCCCGCTCCTGTTTGATTCTAAATGTCAGCAACAAAAATGACAGCCAGTCTGTGATTTACATTGGTGCCCTTTTAAAAAGCCTTGCTGGAGTGATGAAGCTGGCTGTCAGCACAGTCAATTGTTGCCCCACAGATGCATCAGTACTGCTGGTGGTGTGGCCAGTTCATGCTCAAGGCAGCCACTTTGGCATGCGTACTGAATATAGTATTCCCATTCAGAGGCTTTTGATGGCACACATGGGAAAGGAGCAGGCACATTTCTTCTTGGGCTGCTCACTGTTAGCTTGGTTGGGTTCGATTTTTATGGTATATTCCCCCCCCCCTCCCCTTTCTCCTCTGCTGTTTTGCTTGTTGTCGCCCGAACAGAGACTTGGGCTGTGTTAAATGACCAGAATCCCAGGAGAGCAATTGGAGCCAGCTGTTACAGGATGCTAATGGCTGGAGTAGCATCAAGCCAAAGAAAATGGGTGTTATAGATTCACTGTTTGAGCGGTATAACAACCAACCCATCATCTTAGACTGCTTTGCTACCAGATTGCTGAGATTGCTCGTAAACCTTGGACTGTATGCTATAAGTGTGTGAATGGAAGCAGTGGTCTCTGACCGGATAAAAGTAGTGTTAGAATTGTGAGCTAGAATTTATTAATCAAAATTCTATAAACCGTTATATACTCCAACCCTTAAGAGTAAAGTTGGACCTTTCCCACTGCCCAGACACATGTTTGAAGTTGGATCATTATGACATGTATGTTTCTGCTCGACAGGATGACTATCACTGACCCTCCTAGTTGTGACCAAAAAGAATGCAACACTTGTTTCACTTCTACCACTCCTACCACTCCTCCTGCTCATGCTTTCAACCAATTGATAGGAATCTGTGTTTTGCTGGTGTATATTTCCTGTGTTAAGTTACTGCTAATGCAAACTGAAGATTTCCTGCTGCTTGCTTCACATCAAAAGCTTTCCATTGGTAAACCACAAGATGGCTATTACTCTAAAGCACATAGGGCGGAAGCTGTTGTATTGGCGTCAATGGATAGTAGATAAAATATGCATACACAGAAGTTTTATCAATGCTCTTTATCTGAGAAGCAGATTAAAAAATCACATAGAAAAGCAGTTGACACAATGAACTTGTGAGATAACAGATGACAGATGATGTTATTCTACTTTTCTCTAGTCCCTCAAGTAAACAACTTTTATATGCGAGGGGATGAGTCGGCTGGCCGTCCCGACGATATAAACAAACTGAAGACAGGACTCGGAAAACTCTGAAAACATCACAGACAGTGGGACTCGGGTGTCACACTCATTGTAGACAGTCATTACTCACAGAGTTATTTTCAGAGGATATATTTGATTTCTATTACATGTAAGTGTGAAAAATCGCATTTAAAGCCTTTAACCATCCCAATAGGTCAGAAGGGATTTCAAAGAGCTTGCTTGTGCAAAAACTGAACAGGTGAGGAGGGAAAAAAGACTGATATGGTGATTCAATTACTATTCAGATATCTCATCTCTGACCAACTCATCCTCATGGCCTATGTCCTGAAATGAAGAGAATCACTAGTGATAGACTCTTATAGCCACAGCAAACGTTCCGCCTGAAGATGGTTAACATTCAGCTCGTTGTTAGGGGCTCTAAAGACTTGACTTGAAGGGTTTCCAAGATACAGCTGGGAAGTTTGGATATCTTTATGTTTTGAATGACTGGATAACTCATTTCTTGAATGCAGTGGTTGTCGTTATGGTCATTGGTCATAGTGACAGTTTTGTTTTGACAAATTTTTCTGTTTCCCCTTTTCAGGACATACAAGAGTGGCTCCGGGGTCAACAACAGAAGAACAGAGCTGTTTCTTAAGGAACATGACCACCTGAGAAAGTAAGTTTAAATTTGGTGCCACTTTTGAAGATTTAAAGCCTTCAAAGATATTTCCTAGTGAGCTTTTGTATGTCAATCCCATCAGATATTCAGATTACAACATACTTTCCGTACATCATAGCTGGGATAACAATAACATGTGGTATTTTGATGGTGGGTTGGACGAACACTGGAGGAGCTTACTATGGTTACAGATGCTTCTTTTGTAACCCTAGATTGGACATCTGTTTCCATCACTCAATGTGCATTCATTAATCCTGAGTTTGTAGTGTAATTCATGATAGAGAAAAATGGAGGCCACTTCTGAGTGCTTTTTTTGTCATTCAAGTGAAGAACATCAGACTTCATTGTCTTGCCACATTATACCAAATAAGTAAATTCTTTACACAGGTATTGTGCTGAAATAACATAACTTGGTAACTTTGAGCTGTGAAAAGTTGAGCAGACTTTTCATCATGACACAGTAGGTCAAACCATATTCTGCCAGAAACCTCATTAGTGTCCCACTATCACTTGGCTGACTCAAACTCTACAGAACAGCATGAGCGAGTAAAGTTTGTGAAATGTGTGTATGCGTGTACCTGCCTATGTGTGTTTGTGAGAGAAAGGTGTGAGAGGTACCCTGTGTGGAAAGTAAAAATGGATGTCAGCACAGCAGGGCAAACACTATGAAACACACCCTCAGATGAAACACCAATAACCCACATCAGAGCTTTTAACATGGCTGAGGCTTGATAATGATTTCTGCAAATCCAAAGCAGTCTGATTGGTTCTCTTTTGCAGAATGTTTGTTTCCTGTCTCAGCTACTCAAAGGAATAATGCCTCAATTATTCCCCATCAAAGACCTCTTTATTCATTACAAACACTCAGTTTTTCCTCCATCATGGCTGGTGTTTGGCTAAGACTGACGTGTATACAGGAGGAAAACCCCACAAAATAAACATTAATAACCAAAAAGAGAAAGTTCTAAACCCACAAACCCACAGCAGTGTTTGGTGGTTCTGAGATTTCTTAGATATATGACATATTATGTTATGTAACATAAGCTTTGCTAGAGTCTTTTTTTTACATGCAGTATACAGTAAGTGCACTGGTAGGGAAATGAACATTCATAAGCCGACAATTTTGTCTTTTTTTTGTATCTGTTTTGTTGCTCTTGCGGCCGTAACAAATCATGGAATGATAGTGTGCATATTGTTGATGTGTGGATACAACCTCATAAGAGTTTAAGACAAATATGTTTAATTAGATTTATTGTGGGGATTCCTTCATTGATAGATGATAATCATCTTACAAATCGTGTCACATCATACTGAAAGTAGAGGAATGTCCTTTAACTCTTAACTGGACACAAGAAGGTTAAGTGTAAACATCTAAGGTTCTTCTTTTGTCACCCAATGTCATTCTGATAACCCAATTAGATCTGCCTGATTCTTCTTCTGTATTTTGCTTTTAGTTACAATTATGAACCCAATTTGGTCCATGGCTTAATGTAACATCACATGAAGAATGATTCAAATGCTTTCCAGGCATTACGGGGGATACCATCTACTATAAGTGTGTGAACAATAGAGAACAGGTGCAGCATGAACAGAATCTCTAAGTGAAGGGTCAGGACTCAGAGGAAAGAGGTTTACATGGAGAGTGATGGAGCTGCAGAGTGCTAACACTGCACCTACACCTCTGAAGTCAATGAATTAATGAAGCTCACAGGTAATTGCATAAATATTATAATGTAGCTCTGGAGAATATTCAATCGTTTGAAGTTGCTTTGTGATATTCAATGTTACACGACAAGGAAAGAGCTTAAAATAGTTAGTAGATTCCTTAAAGCAGTGAAAGAAGCCCAGAAAAAGCCCAACATGTGGTTACTTTTATCTGCTTTGTGCTCTCTTCCAATATCTTGGCATGACTGAGGAAAAGTGAAATTGTTTTTTAAGAAGTCCTTGGATAGGACCATCTCCTTCTTCATTTATAAAAACTGTGCAAACTGAAAACTGATGATGAAATAATCTAAGAAATGTGAGTTCAGAACGGAATTGGCACATTGTTCAGAGCCTCCTCCAGTTTGCTGCAGCCTCTTACCATCTAAACCCACGCCCATGCCAATCAAATTGATCAGGATAATAGAATTATATTATAAAGCCACAACCCATATTAGAGGGCTTTCCCAGGCCATTGACAAAGATGGGAATGGAGGGGAAAGAGGAGATTGGAGATGAGGATCAGGTTGCGGTTGATTGATCCTATTAGAGCCATAAAACAATAAGAGGGCCCAAAGAAGAAAGGGTTGCAATGTGGCTAAAGCAATCATCCCAATTCGTACTAAAGAGGGGTGCGGGGGATACTTAATGAAGAGGAGAGATTTTGGTTAAAATGCTACCTCTCATGAATGAGGAGGTTTCATTTGTAATGTAAACTATTATTATTTTTAAAATGTAGTCGTCAGCCAAAGATATAGAGTTTTGTATGTTTGCCATCATGGCACCAGCATTGCCAAATTGATCTGCCCAGACTAATCACTTCCTGACAAAATTTCAGCAACCAAACCAAACAACTATGTTCAAGCAATGCAAATGAGTGTTCCTGAAGTCTTGTGAGCCGACATTCATTCTTAACAGAACGCAATGAGACAGACTGAGAAGGATTATATTAAAGATATCATCTTCCACATCAGTCACACCTGCTAGTGTGCCTACACATTAGATTTGAAAAGCTGTCATTGCAGTAGTCCTTGTTGAATGAAAGTAACTCTTAAAGACGCTTCAGGACAGTGATTTATGTTGCCAGCAGTGTTGAGAAGGGAGGGCGGCTCCTGCTCTCTGAGATTCACAGCAATTTTCTCATGCATTTAGAGTTCATGATAGTTTTCAACTTGTTACTGCAGCCTGTTTTTCTGACCTTACAACCACAGAAACTACTGTGAAGAAAATGAGAGGAAGCTGCTTCTTGATTAGCAGTAATAAACCGATCAATGATCAGAAAAAGCTTTGGAGTTAAGTCCAACATCAAATTTTGATCATCCAACTCGTAGCAAAATGGGCTTTTTCAATACTATTTAGACAGATTTGCTATTTTATCCATGTAGTATTACCTCTACATTTAACCTGATCAACATACAAAGTGTAAAGCAGCAGCTCATCAATTTCATCTTGTAGACTAGAACTCAATAACTGTCTGCAAGGCCTTTTTGATAATAAACATTATTTAACTATAACTTGATGCTGTTAAATAATAAGAGCTAATAGTTCAACTTATCTCTTCCTCCATGCATCCTCTTTTATTTCTACATTCGATTTTCCATCTCTCCCTGCAACAAAGGCGTGTTCATGAATAAACTAGAGGGGAGGGAGGGAAAGGTCCATTAAGGGTTCATGTGGGAAAAGCTATAATGGGAGTGGTCACTCAAAGAAAGACTTCCTGTCGAACAGATATGTCCTTTCTTCAACACAGCAATGGTGTCAGTTCAAGGCAAGGCGTCTTTAAACCTCCCATTGACACTTGCATTGCATAATAATGCATGGTTCAAAACCTCCCAGGATGTCTTATCTCTTTCTGTAATGTTCCTTTGGAAATTGGAAATGATGCTTTTAGCTTGTAATAGCATAGCCATTCTAAATGTTTCTCTTAAGAGTTGGGTGCTTTCTGGATTACATTCATTAAGTTTAAAGTTAGTTTTCTCTGAGTGCGGTCTAACAAGACCAGAGTGAACAACTGAAAGGGGGGAGAAGATGAGTTGTTTTTCACTTCTTCATTTTAAGAAGCACATTTATCAAAAAATCTAACACCATTGTTTTTTTGTTTATGCATTGAGCTTTTACTCTCCTCATCCTTGGTTGAGGGCCCCTGCTTTGAGTCCGCCTGACCCTTATCCACCCTTAAGATTTTTCAATCTGAGATGCCTGTTCCCCGCAATGCTAATGTAATCAGCACAGGAGAGCTCTGAGGGTTCTGGGTTAAGTGCTTGTGCTCTCTCTTTCTTTTACCGGATGTATCCAGTTAAGATCCACAATTCAGTTTTGAAAGTTTAGTTGTTCGTTCACAGGCTAGTCCAACGAGAATTGAGGCATTTTTGGGGCACTTCATGTCTGTTTTGTTCCTGGGTAGTCATCAAGATTGTCTGCTTTAAAAATGCTGGATCAAATCACCTACACGACCCAGCTTTAGTTGTTTGTCAACAATATTCACTGTCATAAAATTCAAGATCATTGGTTTGTACAAACTCCCAAGTGTGTCTTATATTCCTTGTTTTTCATCCCTTACATCAGAGCCTTCTTTCTTTTACTAGGTTTTATGTAAATCGCACATGAAGGGTGGTTACATGCGTTCATGTAACTAATGTAATCATCTCATTGAGTGATGCAATGTGTGAGGTGTGTTGAGTATGTAGCAGAGCGTTCTGTATCAGCTCTGAGCTTTGATTTGTGACCACTTTTCCTCTTTGCTGCTGCTGCTGCAGTTTGCTTTCTATAACTGCTGCCAAGATTAGCAAGACTGTTTCCTCAGCAAAGTAATTAACGTATCAGTTTACCTGGCTGATTCTGTTGCCTCATCTTGATCTAAAGCCAATCTGGCAGAGCATTGCTCTCAAAAGGTTGCTTTAAAGTATTTCCTTTCAGAATACAACTTGAATAGTATTCGAGTTGATGAATCAGCGGACAAGAAAGGCGTTTTAATTTCAGTTAATCTTTGTTGTACTTAAGGCTTAAGTGATATCTGCTCAGCTCCGCTAACGCAGGGATCGTTTTGACTTCCTTTGTTGAATGAGAATGCAGATGTCTCTGGGTTTATGCCTGTGAATGGAAAGAGATAGCAAGAAAGCATGTGGGCAGGACTGGCTGGTTGATTCATCACACCGGGAAAGGCAATTAGCTTTAAGCTAACGAGCGATTTAATGACTGCAGCGAAACACCACTGACCCGGGGAAATGGAAGGCATGCATGCACTCAGATCTGAAACCACAGAAGGCCATATATACTTGAATGTGATGGCACAATCAACCTCACCACTACCGCTGTGTTTTGATGATGGATGGTGCAAGGCATAAATCTTTTGGCCCATCTCGTAGCATGCATATAAAAATCCCAGGAATCAAGGCTCACTTCAGCACACTACCACTCTCCCTATTCACTCTTCAGCTCATGATTTATAAGAGTGCAGGCCATCGGTGACAGACAGTTAAGGTGCATTTTTCTCTGTCTGTCATTTATCCACCGGGTTGGTTTTGATCATTTAAGTTCGGTGTCATTTAGCTGTCCGTTTTTAGTACCTTACTTTTCCTTTCCTAGATCTACTGCCGCTGTGTGCCGAAATAATCAAATAAGAAATATTACAGTTTGTGGGATTTTTCAAAATGACTGAATAAGTAAAAAGTCTGGAGCATTCTCCTATTTTTTTCTATAGACTGCACGATCCACTGCGCTTTGCATCACAACATCCTGTTCCTCTATCAGTCTCTGCTGCACCCTCCAGCTTCAATCAATTTGTGCCAAACTTGCCTGCCAGCCTTCGAAGGGGAATTTTGTGCTGCTTGCGATACCATTTCACAAACTTAGTTTTGATTCAAGAAAAATATGTAATCACAAAGCACTACCAAATAACCGACTGGTGCTTGTTTGCTGAGCTATGATCCAAGAACAAAAGGCTGCCTGGTCCACATCGTGACTGTGCAATGTCCATGAAGTGTCTGCTCTAATGGGCAACACATTTGAGATGGTTTAAGATTTCATGAATCCAATGACATGTGTTATTTGTTATCAAAAAGAGGAATGAATACAATTATTTATCAGTTGGAAATTTCCTTTGACTGAACAAATAAGATTGAGTTACAGTCATGATTAAGTTTTCAACAATAACAGCCATCCATTACATTTGCTATAGTCATGTCTTTTTGGTCCACCAGCAGAGTGAAGAACCCTAAGATTACAGGTCATTAGCAGGACCAGTGTGAGAGTAATTGGTTCAATATATAACCTAGAAAATGGTCCATCCTCTGAGAGATCACTTGGTCCATAATGCCTGGTCATATAAGTGACTGTGGACCAGAATCAAATTATTTAGAACCTATAGATGGTACTTCATGGTTTTACAAGAATAATAAAATATTTGTTCTGCCTGTTGGAGGCTTTGACTTTTGAGCTTTGCTGCTCCGCCTCAATATTAACAAATTAGCTTTTCTTTTGTGATTATAAGTCATTCCTTTGATTCATCACTTTGTGAACTGCATATTTGAAACACCTTAGAGGGCGGCCTAGCATCTGTTTCATGGAAAGCAGACTGTTGGCTCAGCACACACATTGCCAACATGCACATGCAGATCCTCATGGTTGGTTTCACCCCTCCATGAAAAAGAAACAAAAAAGAGTCCAGTGAATTTAAGGTGACCTACAGACACTTCTGTAGATGTTAAAATCATGACACCCAAGTCCAAGGTGAAGGGAACTCTGACAGAATATACAAACATCTTACATAGAGGATGTAGAGGATTGTAGCCAGTTCAAAACAATTAACTGGAGACTTGAATAGAACAGTTCCAAGTTTGATGTTAAAAGCAATCTACTGTGTACAACATATACACAGAGCCACTATGGCATTGGTTTTGGACTGCTGTTTTTAAAGCTTTGGGACTGGAACATGGATATTTGTAAATCCTGGATACTTGACCAAAAGATGTCTCCTGTTTAGTCCAATAGATCTCACCTGGTGCTTTAGAACCATTTTCTTGGCAGAGCTTGGTAAAAGCCATCAGCAGGGATAAAGGTCTGTTGCTTGTTCTTGTTGGGGATGGTTCACCTGCAATACCATATAATGCTGAATTACTTCAATTTATTTCTATTCTAGCTTTAGTTTTTTTCAAACTTTGTCCAATTGAGAAGTAGTGAACGTCACGACTAAACTTCTTATAATTGACTCCCTTGTGGATTCTAGTGAAGTTCTGCCATGAAGTTAGAAAAATAATTTGCATTATCAGAAGCTGACATCAAAGTAGGACCCAGGCAAATAAGAGTTAACCCTGTGATTTACCTCCAAGCCTGAAAGTTGGGTCTCCATTGAGATAACATTGAGGTTTAAAAAGGGATTTGGGTAAAAGCTGTAGATGTGTTTTGAGGTGGATACAAATCAAGAAGGAATCTATGAAGGACCTTCCCTCTCCTGATACTTTGGTTAGACTCTGTAGATTGGTAAAGAGCTTAAAAGAAACCGCATATTGAGCATGAGAGCGAGGGTGTGGCTGCTGTCAAATTGAATGTTGAGCTCTGAAACACAATCCCTGTTGTTTTGTTTGCTTGGCTTCAATTTAGTTCTCTGGAACATTATCCAAATTGATTCCAATTATGGAATAAAACCACTGACAGCATTGTTGTTTATGAGCAACCGGAGACACAAAACTGATGAAACGGCTTCCGAGGTTTGTGTGATTGTTTGTACTTCTAATAGTCTCTGCAGAGCAAAAACAAGCATGTGACACTGAATGACGCTACGCAGAAAATTAAGCTATGAGATCTTCTCGGGGAATCCTTCCTTGGTTACAAAGTCCGGAAGTCCTTTTTCTGTGGGAATCATCCTAGAGAACGAGTTGAACTGATCAAAGGACCTAATTGTCAAGCCTCTTTTGCAGACATTAGACGACATGAGATGTTTGACATGATAGTGTGAATATTTAAATTACATGAAGCTGTGTTTTGCCAGACTGGTTGTTGTATGAATGTTGTTTTAGCACTAGCTCCTGTTTTAGTACCGCTGCGATACATAATGTCGATAACTAACCTCTCGTTTCTTTTCCTCCCTGCCTCCCTCCCTCCCTCCCTCCCTCCTATAGTTCGGACAGAGTGATGGATGACACAATAAGGTGAGACATATTTTCTGTCCTGCATACGTAAGTCCACATATACATATGTGACAGCCCTCTCCCCTTCTTTTCCATTGTGTTATCTATAGCTGCTCTCCTGACTCAACACCATCAGTGTGAGTGCAGGAATGAACCTTAACACGGCCTGCACACCTCAGGTCTAACAGGCTTTAGCTACAGTGGAGAATGAGTAAGGTACATCATAACTTTCTTTGCTGAAACTTTTAACCAATGAACTTGTCAATTATTTTGCTCCTTGTGTATTCACTGACTGGACGAGTTTGATGCTTATCAAAGCCTCAGAAGTGAGAGTTCTGCTGGTCATACAAAATCTCACATACATAAATTAATGACAGTCACTTTGGTAACCCTAGTTCCCAGAAATCTGTCTCCCTCTGCACTGATTTGCTGGTCATCTATTTCTCACCACTCCTCACTGCTATTCAGGCCTAAACACATGATGAACATGTTGTTTTTATATTTACCCAAATTACCCACCTTCCTTTGCTCTCATATTATTTAGTGGTCTTTTCTGCACATTTACTTTTCCATTTTTGTGTCTGCATCTCGTAATCTCTATTTACAGGAGATTGGCTTGAAAATGATCTGACTTTTTTATCTACTGCATATGTCCACATTAAAAAAATAAAATAAAAAAAAATTCTATTGCATGTAGGAGCGAGTTGTTAATAATGCAGCACCTTTATATTGTGCACTGCGCTGTGTCCATGTAAATAGGTACTTTTCCGGATTGTGATTAAAGAGTTTGTAGATTAAGAATTTATTTCACTTTAAAGGCATTTTCATGATTTGAGACCTCCTTCAGTTATTTTTATTTTTTTTAACTACGATCACTGATTTCACCACTGAGTGTTCAGGTAATCTCTATCCTTTAGCTCTTATTCTCATGAGCTGGTTAACATCGAGATAAAACTGTACGAGCAGCTGGAGTCAGCAGTCAGTTTCTTCCTGACTGAGGAGAACATGAACCTGAAAACACTGCTCCAAGCCAAGACTGCGGACTTTCAGGACACACACACACACACACACACACACACACACACACACACACACACACACACACACACACGCTTGCACTCATCAGAACTGTTTCTGACCTGCCTCTCGGGCTCTGTCTCTCTGAGATGGGAGTGATTGCTTACTGCTAGTCTCCCTGCAGTTCATGAGAGCCATAATGCTACTCGCAGTGGAGAAAAGCAACAACTGTTCTACTGAATTAACACTAGATTAATGTCTATTTGATCTTTTTTTCTATTTGAATTTCGTTTTCAGAGCTGATCAAATTCCCAGTTGTGAATGGATCCATAGCTGTTATTGATTATTGTGTGTAAAAGAGGCAACAGAAATTAAACGTAGTTCCTGAAACCTTTGAGTTCATCACAGCAATGCCCCCCCCCCTTAGCCTAGTCCACTCTCACACATGCTGCAGGCTCTGGAGAACTGGATAGGATGACGTCTGTGTCAAACCAGCATGATTTCATTCTGTGCTGCGTTCAGGTGCCATTCTATCCATTCAATACCTGTTTTTAATCTTTTCACGAGGTTGTTCAACTTTCCAAAATGATGTATCACTGACCTATATTTTCTTCAATGTAAACTGTTGTTTGAATGGAAGTGCAAATATGAATTTTGCATTCGTTTGAATGATCAATACGGATTATATTTAAGATTCAGTTATCTTTTTTCATCAGGCTAAAGATTTGACTTGATACCTGATTTTGATTCATTTGTCTGTTTTGGACTTGCTAAAGTTCACCACAATGAAATGAACAGAAGCAAAGTTCATTAAAAATAAATAGAACAAGATAAAAAGCCAGGTTTGTTTATTTTATCATTACTTCTTTGTTTGCCTATTAAATAATTACCTAGGTTTGTCTGAAAAAATAACAGGGACCAACAACTCGACTTAATCTCTACTTCAAATGTGAGGTGCGTTTGATAAGAATCTACAGGTATTTTTCCTCTTTCCCTTTCTGTCGTGGATCTGTTGTCCTTCGTTTTAACACTTTATGCTTCCTCTCAAACTGGATGCTCATTTCTCCCAAAAACACCTCTGATCTGCAAATGAATATCTAATTCATGGTGGACTCTGACTGACTACAACCACATCGAGTGTATCTTCACTTTTGAACTACTTTCTCTCTTTCTTTCTCTTTAGTATTGCAATGGCGACCAAGGAGAACATGACATCCCAGAGGGGCTATCTGAAGTCCATACAAAGCCGGGTCAACACCTTGGCCAGTATCCTTTATGCCACATTATGTTCATGATGCAGAAAACAGAGCGGGAACAGAAGGACACCTGGTATCAAAACATTAAGAGCGTATGAATGAATGGCTGTTTGATCGGAGGACAGATTTTCACTTCAGTGGAGATGTTTTTTTTTTGTTATTGAATCATATTCTTCTTTAAACACTTGTCACTATGAAACATGTACAAATAGATCCCTAAAAGGCAAACATTTCCTTTCCTATTGGGTCAAAAATGTACAATCTTAAATATTTAGAATTTCCCTTAACCTTACTTTCCCAGACCGTTTCCCGACCATCAATAATCTCATCCAGCGAATCAACCTGCGGAAAAGACGGGACTCCCTCATCCTGGGTGCAGTGGTCGGCGTCTGCACCATCCTCCTTCTGCTTTATGCTTTTCACTGAAGGATCGGACCTCGTGGAATCTTTGGGGAAAAAAAAAAAAAAAAGGAGCAGGATCGATATACTCTTTTGTAGCGTGGTACCCTCTGGAGACTGAGCTCAGAGGTTGGAGGACCCTGGAGACCTCCCTGAGCAGAAGGACTTTCAGTCTGTCCAGTTCATAGGCGAGAACAAATATCACCAACATGAACTACTGAACTTGTATTTACAGGTGGGACTACAAGGAAATGCTGGTGGTTGAGTGCTCATCGGCCAAATGTGAGAGTGAAGATGAAGAAGTACAACTAAGACATGATTTTAAAGAAATTCTATTATTAATTCGAAGCTGAGGGAAGTTTTGAGCAGACTGTGAAAATGTGTGATGCATTTTGTTTTTCACAGGTGGAAGGATTTGAGTTGAGTGGTCCTATTTTAAATGATGGAGTGGGATGGATAGTACATTCTGTAAAATGTGAAATAATAAATTATTCATATCAGTATGTGCAGCAGAGTGTGTGACATAACTAGACACTGAACCTTTAGACATATTTTTATTCACTAAATATACAAGATCAACTCTATGGAGGACTGCATGGGCCCCCCCCGCATTTCTGAGAAGGCCTTGTCAAAAGAACTATAATCTTTACTACATTTCTATAACTTAAAAAACTCTAGCTGTTTTTGTCTTTTAAGACAAATAAACCCACGAGGTCCTTCTCTGAGTTCAAACTAAGGACAATGTGAATTAAGGTTCGAGCTTCAAACTTCTGAGCTTTGACGGAATTGACACACGATAAATAAGGAAAAAATGAATCTGCAGCCACTCTGATTATTGTCTAATTGTAAAGCAAATTTTTTTAAACTGAGTTTTCCTGCAGGCTCTTCGTGGTTAAAATAGGTTAATTGCTTCTCCTGTTGTAATATTCAGTAAACTTAATATACCTTTAGGTTTTGGACTGCTGCTTGGAGGAAAGAAACAGACAGGTACAGTATGTGATGTATGGCCCTTGGAAATGATAAAAAAAACATTTTGAGATGAAGACGAACTGTGAAAGTCTTTTTAAACATAACATAGAGCAAATAATTCATCATTGAAATTAAGGATTCCTTCACATGTTTACAATCATATCTGCTGTCCCAATCATCGTCAGAAAAAATAAATTGTTATAACAACAGAAAGTCGGCTAGCAAAGGGGTTGTAGTTTGGCACTAAGAGGACAGAGTTCATCCATGTTGTTTTTTTGTCACATTTGCTAAGTGACAAAGAATGAGTTAAAAGCTAGCTGAAATTTCAGTTTTTCGATTTGCTCACTTATCTCATAGGATTCATTCATGTACATCACTTTCAGACTGTAGAGAGTTGTGTTGCAGAGTTATATGGCTCTTTTCTTACTGGATGAAAAAACAGCCGATTCTAGGTTTTTATTGAAGAAGAAGAAAAACACTACTTTGATGACTGGTTTATGAACATGCTGCATTTTCCTAGCCCAGTATACCTGGCAGAGCCCACGCAGCTCTTTTTGATTGAGATCCTCCTGGAACACAAATTGACGAGTGATATTGAAAGCTTGAGCTGAATCGCTCATGTGAGATGGAAAGGATTGCAGCTCGTGTTTGCATCGTTAAAAGCAGATTGTTGTCGGCGGTGTGGGAATCTGAGAAACATGTGTTTTTTTGTCTCAGCCTCAGACTGACACTGGACTTGAATACAAATCAAAGCAACTCACTGAAATGGACTGAGGAGGATATATTTAGGTGTTTTGTCCTCGTTCCCTCTGTTTGATGCTTTTCTCACGAAGAAAACACTAAAAGCAAACACAAACTGGCTAGACTGCAGCTTTTAAATGTCCTTTTTTCTTGTGTTCCAGCAATTGCACAAGCATTTCCATCCTTCCCTGAATACCTCACTTCCTTTTGAAGGGAAATCCTGTGCTGAAGTCTAAATTTGGAGCAAAATGTGTACCCGCACACAGCAAAGGTGCTGAATGTGTTGGACTCCTGAATATTTCAGCCACTCAAACTGAACGCCGCCCAAGCAGAAGTAAGCACCAGAGTCGCTCACTTAGAAAGTTCACACTACAGTTACTTCTGACAAACTCAGGTGTGTGTGTGTGTGTGTGTGTGTGTGTGTGTTCACGGCAGGTGAAATGTTTGAGACAAATCTTGCTCTGAAGAAATCAGATGGGTATTTTAATAATAGTATATATTAAAATGCAAGTGCAGGGAGGCTCCATTGTCTAGTGACATAACAGCCTCTATCTCTTTTCTCAACAGATGTTTATTAATGTTTTTTGGTGAATAACAGAACCTGGAAAAAGCTCTGTCCTTGAGATGTGGAAGAAGGATTTTGATCTTTTAGTGGTGTAGTTGTGTAAGAAATGCTTCAGGCCATTAGTCTGCAGTTGGTGTAGGTGTGGGAGGCAACATTTGTCAAGAATTCCTTGTTTTGCTTTTGTCCAGGCCCATTTATAACCTGCAGTCATGGGTGCCATGATAAATGGTGTTTATGGTCTTTGAGACACAGTTGTGGATCAGGAGCTGCTGTATGTACAGGGTTCAGGTATGATCTAAACAACAACTTTACAATGTAGTGCAATACAATACTGCAGCTTTACTGCAGAGTGAAATTAATCTGAGTCAACACTAAACACTACACATAAAATACTACTTTTATTTTTTTAATCCCTTGCAACTTCACAAGTAAACGTATTATTCTTCCCACTTCCTGTAGAGGTGTGACGAATCCAGTTTTCTTTTGTAGCGCCATAATGATGTTTGCATACTTGATTGCATCCCTCATAAATTCACAGTTTGAGTCTAAAGTGGCTCATTAGTGATATTTTACTCATTTTTTTTAGCAAATATTGCGAGAACTGTGTGTGCAACTTTGCTCAGAGTATTATTCGTCGTCCGTTCAGGATGAACTGTAATCACCCTTGAGCACTTCTAGCTTTCATCTTGCCCCATCATCGAGTAAAAGGTTGTCTAGGGTTAAAGTTTAAATGACACTCCTCATCAGCTTCAGCTGTACCTTGTATTTCGGGCTTGTTTGCAAATGTTAGCTTGCCTAAATGCTAAAACTTAGATGACGAACATATAAAGCATCACAAACAGAGCCAGCATGGCTGAAGTGTCTTCACGGCACCTCTTCTCAAATAATTTCTGCCTGTCGGTAAACAAATGAGTGCATCATCCAAAGGCCAAACTTGGACCATGCATGGTAACATTTATTTCAAGACATGCTAAATGTACACCACAGAGATGAAAACTGGCACATACAATATAGTGGAAAATGAACACGTCATATTTAGGGATGAAAAGATGGTTTGAAGTGTTTTCACAGACAGAGCAGAGCTTACAGGTTAGACATCTGGCTCCATGACAAAAGAGACAAAAACATATGTTATCTTGTATGTTAAAGCAGTAGCATCCACTCTGTGATCAGAGCGGATGAACCATTTCATCACTTTGTTAAGTATGTATATTCCCACTACAGTTTGGTAGTAAACACTGGTATCTTTGGAGTTTTGCTGCTTTCTGATGTTGGGATTAAGAAAGTCATCTTTTTATTCATGAATTATTATTTTTTAGAAATATGAATTAGAATGAAGATAACCCATTTAGCACAAATCATTGAGGTTACAGTGCTGACGCTAAACATGACTGCAGATTTAGACTTACAGTGATTATTTTCACTTTACAGCTTAGTGATATCACTTTTGGTGCATATTATACATTTCTCTTCACTTGTACGAGCCCTTATACAAAAAAAAGAATCGTCACTTTTTATGCCTTGCACGAGAAGTTGCTCAAGTTATTCTTGATTCAAGTAAAGTAAAGCAATAATGCCCGAAGAAAACCTTTTAAAAAGACGCCACGTGATCTAACAGTGATGTAACCTGTGCTTGTAGCATGAGCCTGCACGGTGTCCATATAACAGTCCTGCTTAGTGACAGGCAATGTGATACTTTGAAGTCTCCTTCGATAAAGTGACAAATACAGACAATCTGTCGTGCTGTGTTTTAAAAAAAGAAAGATTATTTAAATGCTTTTGTTATTTCTCAGGTCAAAACCAGAGGCCTGATCATTTACAACAAAATAAATATGTGTGTATTGGGCCTGTTTGGCACATAGCATGCGTACATATTGCATATATATATATTTTCCAATATAAATACATTTGATACCATTACAAGAGAGGGAGACAGTGAGACTATGGCATGAAACAGTCACTGTATAACAATGGAAACACGGCAAATGGAGGAATATATATTTAAAATTAGTTTAACAGTACGGGCAAAAAAACAACAAAAAAAACTGAAGGACAGCAGACATCTAAACACATGTTGTGGTTAATAAATAAATCATTAATGTTGTGACGGGAAATAAAGAGTTGAAAGATTTTGAGAGGTTTGCCATGCGTTTCAGTCTCTGCCAGAGCAAGGCAAGGTTGAAGAGACTTGAGACATACAAAAAGGGAACTGGGGTTAGACGACACTTCTCACACATTCAACAGTGGCTGAACTCACATAATGTACACAAATCACTCTTCCATGTGCAAACGTTTCAGTTTCTCCAGACGTGTAATAACAGTCAGAACAAAGGAAGGCAGGATTTTGGTTATCTACATTCAGGCATGCGGTTGGTCTCCTTTTTTTTTAGATTCAAAAAATCATAATCAATAACAGAATCAAAATTGTGTTCCTTGTCCTTTCTCCACAAAGCTTGAAGTTTCCACTGATGCTGACAGAGCAGCTATTTGTCACAACAAACCCAGCAACACTTTGCATACAAACATTTTATAAAATGTACATCTATATATATATATATCCATATATTTATATTTCAAATATATTCGTAGCTGTATATGTTTTGAATGCAAGAGGTTCAGTGGAGAATAATATGAGGATTATTTGCAGCCGTCTGAAGGTTGAAGTCCAAACCCTAAATTCTTTTTTAAAGCAGCTCCATCCCAGACAAAGAAAGTGTCTATTTGCTCTTTGCTCCAATCGTCCTCTTCATTTTAAGAAGTTCGAAATCCCACAAAGACACAATTTTGAGTCCTCCACATTCAATTCTGCATTTTCTTTTTTCCTCTGTTTTTAACCGGAAAAATTCTACATCAGGTTTTTCGTCAAGCAATTGTTACTGGATTCTAATGCATGCATCTCTGAATGTTTTTTCTTTTGTTTACTTGCTGCAGTACCTACTGTCATGAGTTTCCTATTTTTCTCGCATTCTGTGTGGTTGTATAAATAAGGAATTGTACTTTTATTTATTTTTTTTTTTTGAATGAGCATTTTGCCCCCGTGTTGCATCCGTGTTCTGAGTTTGACAGTAGGTTTCTTCCTCGCCGTGACTAGATTACTGCAAGAGAAAGAAGAAGAGAAGAGTGGCACCGTTAGAGAACATCAGGTTGTACCCAAAGACATCTTCAACTCTCCATCAGATTCACTATTTTGACTGGAAATGTCAAAGACACTGAGAGGTAGGGGAGCTT